GCGTGTTTTATTCAATATTCGAACTTTTTTTTTTGGAGTACTTAAATAATTTTGAACATAAAAGAAATTTTACGCTTTTCAGCAAAATACTATCTAAATAATTAAAAAAAAAAATTATTTCCTTTAAATTTGATTTTTTATACTTTTCTATAATAAATAAACATTCATTAATATAAATAAACATGACATTATACAAAAAAACAACTAAAACCGTTTTTGAAAACCGACGGTTTTGATTTATACCGCGGTTTTCGGTCATCGGTTAAAACCGATTGGAAACCCTAATTTAATTGTTCGTCATTTTGTGCCATTTAAAGTTACACTGCAAAGATTTTAGCTCAATTTTGAGTGTTTTGCTTATGGTTGACAGTTTTCTCAATTATTGAAAATCGTTTGGTTCTTTTTATATACGTATTTTTATATACATACTTTGCCACTGAATAGAGTTTTAACATACCGATCCGCATTCTTTTTCAATTGGAACAAAAGGATATAAATTGACTAAATCAAATGAAAAAAGTTTTGAAAGTGTGACCACTCGGCAAAATTTATAAGCCAAAGTTTTTAAATAATGAAACATGTACCTCATTTGAATCTAGTATCTCATAGTCCAACCTTAAAATTAAAATCTTTGAAAATTTTTAGATTACTATTATTTTTTTTGTTACTTTTTTTGAAGTATTGGGTTACTAAATTTACAAGGTATTTAGAAACCTTATATAGTAGTTTGTTAACGATAAATAAGAAATACGCATGGGTTAGTTATTGTTTTGTTTGCATGCTTTTATTAAGCATACATAAGTAAAATATAAGTAAGGAAAAGTATCACTGTCTATGAGGTTTTTGTGTATTTTTCTTTCTTTTTTTGTTTTCGAAGCGTTTTTTAAAAATTGTTTAAAAGAATTTTGGTTGGATTTTTTTTGGAAATTTTTGTCTAACCAATTTTTTTTTTTATTATTTTTGTGTATTATTGTTATTATTACAACTTTGAAAATTGAAAAATAAAACTAAATTTTGATCTCACCCCATTTACCACAG